CTCTTTGCTAAGGAAGTGATGCTGTGTGACTCCTAGGGCCTGACCCCACAGGGGGATCACAGCTGTCAGTACATCCCCCTCTGTCCCTCCCAGCCTTTAGCCCAAGCACTGATGAAGGATCCACTTTAGAAGGGGTTCCCTCAGCAACTTCAACTTTCTGAATCCTCCCCTGCTGTCGAAGTCACTGGCACTGAGGTCCCACACACGGTGTGGATGAATATTGCCCTAGCTGTGCCCTTCCCAAATTCCTGCCCACTGAACCTGGGCACAAGGGTCATTATTCAATGACATTTTATTTATTTATTTTTGAGGGAAGGGGGTTGGTTGCTGTTTGGCAGTCACTGTCACTGTCACTGCCCTCCCATTTTCATCGATTTGCTCGAGCGGGCCCAGTAACGTCTCCATTACGACAATTGTGACTGTGTTTGGCATATCGAATATGACACAGGTAGCTTGCCATGCTTTGCCGTGCGGGTGAAATACTCTCGGTAGCTTGCCGGGCTCTCCAAGAGGGGCGGAGGAATCGAACTCAGGTCAGCCATGTTGGTTGCATGCAAGGCAAACGCCCTACCCGCTGTGCTATCGTTCCAGCCCTAATACTCAAACATCTGGTAGTAATTAATATCTTGTTAAGATAGGAGTTCAATTTTCTTTCACAGAACTAGGCATTCTAGGGCTGGTGCCATGTCTACAGAGTGAAGAGGAGGCCTGATCTCTTTCTCCTCCCTGCTGCCTGGAACGATGCTATGATGGGTAGTGCTGCAGCAGCCATACTAGGCCAGAGGGCAAAACTGAGGTTGGCAGAAATGAGAACTGGAAAGAATCTGATCTCTGATAAGGATTAGAGAAAATTCCTCCATCTTATTTAAATCTCTATTATTTTGGATCTCTTTGATTATGGTGAGAAAAAAAAAGCAAACTGGCACAGAGTTAGTGTGAATCTAGAACTCAGGAAATCTGGTGAGCTAGAACAAAAAAGAGTAAGAGTTTCAAGACAAAGGGAGCCATTGAAGTCCTGGTGTAGAAGCGATTGCGTGAGGAGAGCACCAAGAACAGAGCACTAAAAGGAGAACTGTAAGAACTGTGGCAGTAAGGGGAGTGTGGGAAGGTGAGGCCAGGGGAGGGGCTTGCAGGTTTGTAGAAATTCAGGACAGAAGGTGTCTGAGTACCCCTCTCTAGCTAGGGCTGGGCTGGCAGCCCCAGCTGAGTGCCCTTGCACACACAGCCAACCTGGAACTTTCTCTACGTGTCTCAAGACTTTGTTTCACTGGGGGCCATCTCCTTGGGTCCAGAGGAAGCTCCTTGAAGTGTGGGGTCAATTGTTAATCTTTTTTTCATTGTCCCAGTGCCTGTGAGGGTGACTGGCATGGAGCGGAAGGTGATGAATATTTGCAGTGGAACTACACTGAACTTGGCAAGGAAACCCTGGAAGGGAGGGGCTCGGGAAGGCGGGGGTGGTCTGCAGGGCCAGTGCAGAGAACAATCAGGGCCGATAAGGCCTGTAGAGGCTGTGCCATCTGGCTCCGGGTACGTGGCTGTTAGGTGGGCATTGGTGACCTTGGGGAAAAGTGCTTACAAGGGGACAGAGGGACAGAAAACATCTGCTGGGGGTTGGGGACAGGGCTGCAGGGCAGGGTATGTGATGGTTGCTCTCCTGGGAAAAGACAGGGAGAAAGAGGCTGGGGGAGGGGGTATCTCATGATTTTCTCTGTTTAGTCACGTTACTGGCAGAGACAGAGGACCTGAGGGGGGCTCCTGGTCCTCTCTAGGATGCTGGCTGTCTCTGGATTGTGACATGTGTCATTTTTCATGGAGTGGGGGGCTGGGGTTCACATCAGGCAGTAATTGGACGTCCCTTCTGGCTCAGTGCTTGGAGGTCACTCCTGATAGTGCTCAGGAGACCATGTTAGGCCAGGGCTCGAACCCAGGGCTCCCACTTACAGAGCATGTACCCAGCCCTCAGCCTTCTCCTGTCCCCATGGCACTTGTTCTTTTTTTTTTTCTTTTTAAAGTTTTTATTGAATCACATGGCACTTGTTCTTATCCCTTATGTGGCCTTATTCATTTCCTGCTTGGTGACACCAAAAGTATTCTGTTTTGGTTTTTTTTTGGGGGGGTGGGGGGAGAGTTTGTTTGGGGACAACACCCAGCAGGCCTCAAGAGCTACTCCTGGCTTAGTGTTTGAAGAGGGTCTTACCACATGCTTTGGGGGACCGTGTGGTGCCAGGGCTGAGACCCAGGGCTCTGGCATGCAAAACCTTGGCTCTGGCTATTACATTTTTTATCATCTCAGCCCCAGCACTGTTTTAGAAGCGATGTCATGATTGACGAAAATATTCATATATTTCCTGTATGCAAATCATTTCACGCTCCCCCAATCCCCACAGTCACTTGTAGTCCAGGAAAGTTGAGTCTGTGTTGACCCTGCCATGGCCATGTGTGGGTGCCTGGTTGAGCTTCTGTGTTTCCAGAAACCGGCTCAGTGGCACAGCTGGGGCAGGAACACCTGTGGGCACTGGAGGGTGCCAAGGCTTCCTAACCACAGGGAGGCACCCTACTCCAGAAGGGGGTCCCTGTAGGAGTGGGTGGGGGAAGGAGATGCAGGAGCCGTGCCCTGCAGCTGCAGAGGAAATGGGGCGGGGATACTGCATGTTTTGTGGCATCCGATAATGAACTGCAGGTCCCCAGGAGGCTCTTTTATTTTGTGGTTGAATGATACAAAGATTTTTATAAACCTCGTTTTGTGCACTTTGCTGACCGAAGGCAGGGCTCAATCTTATGAAACAAACAAGTCTTGCCATGTGGCTCATTCTGATCATTTCGGAGCTCTGCTTGTTGCCCCTGGGAGGAGAAACCATGGTGTGACAGCCTGGCCACAGAGACGGAGATGAAAGCAGCTCCCCAGGCGGGCCCAGGACTCTTGTCCACTTCCATTCACAGGTGCTGGGTCCAGGCCCCTCTGTCGTGCCCAGAGTGGCAGGGCAGTGCAAATACGGGGCAGATGCCCCAGCAGCAGGGACAGCAGTCCAGTGAGAAAGAGTCCAGGATGGTGCCTGCTCCCACTGGACAGTTGTGCTTATCGGAAGCTGGAGGGAGCTGATGGGTCCTGCCCTCCAAGCTTACCAGTGAGTCTGGCCTGAGTCTCCGCCTCTCAGACACCCCGCCTCCCACATCCCCTAGGGACAGGCAGTGAAGAGGCAGGGCGGGGGTCCCCTTAAAGTGCAGGTGCAGTGCTGCTGGGTGGACGCCTTTCTGAGCGGCTCCCAGGATGTCTTGTGGGGTGAAGGGTGTCAGCAGCTGTCATTACCCTTAGATTCTTTTTTTTTTTTTTTGGCTTTTGGGCCACATCTGGCGGTGCTCAAGGATCATTCTTGGTGGTGCTCAGGGGACCTTGTGTGGGATACCAGGAATTGCCTTTGGTTGAACTTTTTACTTTTTTTTTTTAATCCTTTTGGGTCACACCCGGCGATGCTCGGGTTACTCCTGGCTCTGCACTCAGGAATCACTCCTGGTGGTGCTCAGGGGACCATATGGGATGCTGGGAATCAAACCCGGGTTGGCTGTGTACAAGGCAATTGTTCAGCCCGCTGTACTATTGCTCCGGCCCCTACTTGGTCTTGTAAGGCAAGGCAAATGCCTTTTCGCTGTGCTATCTCTCCTGCCCTGCACCTAGACTTTTGGCACCTGCCACCATGGGGTCTCCTAACCACCAAAGCACAGCTTAGGGACACTTAGGGGACCCCGCAGGACCACCACCTCCTGACCACACCAGCCTGGGTGTCTCCCTGGCTCAGGGGACACGACTGTCTCTTTCATCAATTCCCCAGGCTGCTGGGGAACTTGGATGGGCTTCTCTGTGTCCTGAGATCCCCAACGGCTGGTCTGGACACCCTCTCCAAGGCAGCCTGCTCCCTCAGGGCCCCACCAGCCCAGTTCCTCTCTGGCTTGCTCCTCTGACCACCGTTTTCTCAGAGTGTGACTCAGACATTGGCGTGTGTCAGCCATAATAAATAAGAGGAATCCTACTTTGAGATCATAATAAATAAGAGGAATCCTACTTTGAATCCTACTTTGAATCCTACTTTGACCCAGGGGGGCCCAAAGAGGGATGGGGGGATGAGGCAGTTTGTGGGGCCTGGGGGGTTACTGCCTCCATGTGCCTGCCTGTCCTCGCTGAGCTGCATCCCGTGTCCGTGTTTGCTGCAGGGAGCTTCTTGGCTGCATCCTGCAGCTGTCGAGTCTCAGCACTCCAAGTAGCGCAGAGCCACTGCTAACTCTGGCCCTTGCGGCTTTGCTGTTGGACAGATAGACGCCCATCTTGCTCCAACCAGCTCTTCTTGAGCTTCTCCTTTTTTTTTTTTCCTTTTTGGGTCACACCTGGCGATGCACAGGAGTTACTCCTGGCTCATGCATTCAGGAATATTACTCCTGGTAGTGCTTGGGGGACCATATGGAATGCTGGGAATTGAACCTGGGTCGGTCGTGTGCAAGGCAAATGCCCTATCTGCTGTGCTATCACTCCAGCCCCTCTCCTTGAGCTTCTCATGAACTCTGAGTCACAGCAACAAAAGTCACAAAATATAATTTCCAGAATAATAAAAATCACAAGAACCTAATTGCCTTAAAAAATTTTTTTTTAAAAAAATGTGTTCTTCCTAGAGACCTAGAATAGTTCTTGGCTTTTCTGTGTCCTCCTGGATCAGGGGAGGGCTCTGACCACACAGACCCGGAGCATCCTATGGGGCCGGGGTTGGGGGCAGCCTCTGGTCAGGCCTCACTATCACCCACATCTCAGGCCTAGTGACTTGTGCTCTTCTCAGGCCTGCTCTGACACTTTCAGCGGGTATAATTCCCCACGCACTCCTCTCTCTCTCTCTCTCTCTCTCTCTCTCTCTCTCTCTCTCTCTCTCCTTAGAAAAATAGAAAACCTGGGGGTAGAAGCCTGGGCCAGCCCTCCTGCTCCCCCCAGCTGAGGGCAGAGCTGGCTGTGCCTGCTGCCAGCCCTTTGGGCTCATGCTCCACCAACAGACACAGGATCCGTGCGGCCCCGGGAATGCTTAAGGCGGGCACTGGCTCTTCATCCGCTTCTTCTTCTCCACGGCCAGGCGCAGGGCCTGAAGGAGCTTGTCCTTGTTGTTCAGGATGTTGTACTCGCAGAGCTTCACCAGCTTGTCGAAGTTGGCCTCTGTGTATGTCAGCTCCTTGGTGGCATAGGGTGTCTCGGGGCCGTAGATGTCCACCTGGCCCTGCTCCAGCTCCTCGGGGCTCCGCTCCACACCTGGGGGCCACAGGACGCACCTTAGGGCCAGATTCACTCCCGGGGTTGTCACCTCCCTAGTTCCACCTCCTTTCCTGTGGCCAGCCCGCCCACAGAGGGCCACACCTCACAGAAACCATGCACGGCTCCCTCCCCAGGCGCCGCAGGGTCATCCTGGCACCCAGACCAGGCGCCAGATTGTCAACCACTGCTGGACAGGCAGCAGGGCAGAGGCCTACGTTGCTAGCTCTTGGCTGGGCTTTTCTCTGCTGCCCAAGGCTGGTGGGGCTGGGCTTGCTGGGAGAGCTGTTAGACATGGCTCATGTGTGTTCTGTGTATCTCGGAATGAGCATCTATGCATCTAAGGAGCTCTCAGCCTCGGGGTCACTCCCAAGTGATGTTCATCACAGGGGGCTTACCTGGGGCCTTGTACTGTTGGAAGGTGTCATTGATGAGTGGGAAGAAGATGACGATGGGGGCGCCGGGCTCCTGGGGGTCCTGCATCAGGTAGCACTCCTTCAGGTGGTCCTCCTCGCCCTGCAGCTCGTACTTGGGGAATGGGATGTTTTGCATGGAGCAGTACTCACACGTTTGCCTCATGGGCTGCAATAGCACAGGGTGCCCGGTGAGTTGGTGTGGGGGAGGGGGTGCAGGAGGGAGGCAGACATGGGCTCAGCGCCGACCTCATCACAGACAGCTGTGTTCAATGGCAAGCTTCTCCCCCCAAGTAAAATGGGGGAAGAAGCTTCCTGGGGTGTCTGGCTCAGAGGCAGAACCTTGTAGATGGGGGTGGCACCCCAGGGTGCCACAGCCACCGGAGGCATGGACTTTAAAACCCACACACGCCACTGGGGTGGGGAGTTTATTAGCACCATGTGGTAGAAAGAGCAGGAAGCCAGGCTAAGATTCACTTCTGGTGGTTGTCTGTTTCATGCTCAGGAGCTGTAAGATCTTTAGCAAGCCACTCACTTTCTCTGTGCCTCAGTTTCCTCAACTCGCTATGATTCAGTTGGGAATAACAGCGTTGTGTCAACCTGATCATCTGCCCCCACATCCCCTTCCCTGACTGCAGAAGAGGACTGTATTAAAGAGGACCCCAAATTCATATCTTTCCCATAAACAGGCTGGAACTTTTCAATAGCAATCAGCAAATCAGTAACAATCTGTCCAGGCTCTTCAGTGTAATTACCGGAGGCTCCTGTTCCCTGAGGGCAGGCTGCATCATGATTATCTGGAAACTGGCTAACACATGCTCTTAAAGCAGGGAAGTCTTTAGAATTGATGGGACCCTATTTTAAGGAAGGGAGTTTAGGCCACGCCTGGTTAGACATGGCTCATGTGTGTTCTGTGCATCTCGGAATGAGCATCTATGCATCTAAGGAGCTCTCAGCCTCGGGGTCACTCCCAAGTGATGTTCATCACAGGGGGCTTACCTGGGGCCTTGTACTGTTGGAAGGTGTCACAGGTCAGGGGACTGTCCTGTGAACTCATATGGGGAGTCGGGGATCAAAGGAAGGCTAGCCACTTGTAAGACAAGTGCCTTACCGGCAGAACTAGCTCTCTGGCCCCTGACTGGGCTCTAATAACTCTTTCTTTCTTTCTTTCTTTCTTTCTTTCTTTCTTTCTTTCTTTCTTTTTTTATTGTGTGTGTGTGTGGGGAAAATACCCAGAATGCTCTGGGATTACTCCTATACTCAGGAATCACTCCTGATGGTGCTTGATGGATCATATAGGATGCTGGGGATTGAACCCGGGTTGGTTGCCTCCAAGGCAAGTGCCTTACCTGCTGTACTATCACTCCTGTCCCACTATTAAGGTTGTTATTTTTTTATATATATATAAAACTCTCCTTTTTAAAAAATTTTTGGCCGCTGTACAATTGCCAAATACAGGAAATGTTCAGATGCAGGAATGGCATTGGATTTGGTGGCAGAAGTTTGCATGATCCCACGTTGCTGAGTGGAGGAGGGGGGAGAGAGAGAGAGAGAGAGAGAGAGAGAGAGAGAGAGAGAGAGAGAGAGAGAGAGAGAGAGAGAGAAGGAGGGAGAGAGGGAAAGAGGGAAGGAGGGAGGCCAGGGAGGCCATGAGGTGGCCTCAGGGTGCCCTTAGCCCCATTTCTCAGACTGGCAGTTTCCAGATACTGGCCCAGCCCTGACTCAAGGGCAGCCTCTGCCGGCCACACTTGCCTTTGTCTGGGAGCCTGCGCAGTAGTTGAGGTGGATGATGAGGTCGATCTTTCTCTCAGGTCTGAGGAGGGGCGGGTAGCTGGAGTTGACAAAGAATGCTGTGTCCAACAGGCACAGGTGGTTTGCAGACGCAGTCAGCTGGTTTGGGAACCCATCCAGCACCGTGTCTGCAACAGAGGCTTTCTGTCACCCTCACGCCTGGGCGACCACCTCCTTACTGCCACAGCCAGAGGCACTTGTCCAGGCTGGGGCCCCTGCCCCTCCGCTGGGCCTGCGGTCCTGTCCTGGGCCAGGATGCCCTCTGAACGCCCAGGTCCCTCTGGCTGGGTCAGAGGAGGACAGCATCATCTTGGCTTTTACATGCATAGAAAACCCACGAGGTCCCACTCCCCAGGTATGGGTGGGTTGATGGGGCAGAGGCTGGCCAGGCCTGGTGCCTCTTGCCCTGCTCTGCCCCAGGCAACACAGACAGGGATTGTCAGACCATTTACAGGCTGTGGTGATAAAAGGGCAAGTCAGCCTAGTGTCTCAGCAGGTTGGGGGGTCGGGGGGGAGGCCCTGAAGATGTGAGGTCACACTCTACTCGCTGGGACCACCCTCTGAGAACGGAGCTGATTCTGCCAGGCAAGCACTGTGCTCTGTTCACTGCTGCTGTGGATCACTCGGATGTGGTTTAATTGGTGCAAATTGCAGCGCCCAGCATCAATGTGTTAACTGCACCGGTGTAAGCCCTCTCCCTGACGTGCTTGGATGGCCCCGTGGGTTGGGGCAGCCCCCGTTCCACAGCATGAGCACAGGGGGGCTCTTGGCTGCCATGACCACCTTCCTCCCAGCAGAGGCGTGGGGGTGCCCGTCCCCCCTGGAGAAGGCCGCTGTGGGGGAGGCACCTTTCCACATGGAGAATTGGCCGTTCTGGAGGTAGTCGCTGTGCAGCTGCAGCCCCAGCAGGAAGTTGTGGAACTCAGACACGAAGGGCCGCCGGGTGAGTATGCTGCGGAAAGTGTTGGACAGCCACGTGGCCGGGAGCACCACTGTGGTGTCCAGGACGGCGGCATCACATTTGGGGATTTCAGGCAGGAGCGGCTCATCCTCTGTGGGGCAAGAGGAAGGACCCGTCACTCACAAGACATGAAGTAGGGGGCCGGTTGCCCCCAAGGAGCCCCACACAGACCATGGATCCAGGTGAGCTGGGTGCAAGGAGGGTGGAGGGGGGTTGGGGGTGGGATGGGTGAGTTGGAGAGCAGGGGCTGGGTGTGAGGAGGGGGAGGGGATGTCGGGGGGCCCAGGTGAGCGGGAGAGCAGGGGTTCAGTGTGAGAAGGGTGCGAGAGCCCTCCTCCACCCTCAGAACTGAGACGGTTTGCAGGTGTATCAGGCAGAGCTTCCCTGGTTTTAATACTGACAGGGCAGACTCAAGCCGGGAGTGCTGACAGAGCAGCTGTCATGTGCTCAGGCATCTCTCCTCACTGCCCCTGGACCACCTCCCCAGCCCAGCACAGATGGCCCAGCGTCCCGCCAGCCCCCTGCCCCAACAAGACACCCCTTAAACCTCGGAGGTCTCTGGATCTCTGTGGGTTCCAGGGAGATGCTGAAGCTCATGGAAGGTACATGGGATCTCAGTCTGGCTACACCCAGTCCACTATTCCCTGGGGGTCACCCACCGATGTCGTGTACTCGCTCCCGTGTCCACCGGTGGAAGAACTCCTCCGAGGTGTGGCTCAGGTTCCAGGCATCCAGCAGGTTTAGGGAGAAGATGCTGCTCCATAGGCCTAGGGTGCAGGGGCTGCCATGAGTGGCTGTCCAGGGCCGGGGACACACGAGATGGGGTCCCCTGACTCCGATCCAGTGCAGTTCAGCAAGGGAACAGGTCATCCCCACTCTCAGCCCTCCTCCATCCCTCAGAACTGGGAAGGTTTACAGGTCTATGAGGCAGATCTTCCCTGGTTCTAATGTTCTCAGGACAGACTCAAGCCCCGATGCTGCCCTTCACATAGGTCACCTGCTCAGGACACAGCATGGCACTCAGGTGTAACTAGGTAACGTGATGCTCTCGCTTGCTGCCATAACATAGAAATGCTATGTTACAACTAACACTCCTATAAAATCCTCACACCCACTCAACTACCTATCTTCTTTTTTTTTTCTTTTCAGTTTTTGAGCCACACCTGGCAGTGCTCAGGGCTTATTCCTGGCTCTGCACTGAGAAATTACTCCTGATGGGGCTCAGGGGACATATGGAGTGCCAGGGATGGAACCTGAGTGGATGCATGCAAGGCAAATGCCCTGCCAGCTGTGCTATCTCTCCAGCCCCCCCAAACTACCTTCCTTCTAAGATAGGTTTTACTCTTGGGCGCCAGCTGCACATGAGGAAACTGAGACCCAGAGAGGTTTGATAATCTGGCCAGTTGGACACAGCTAGTAATTGAGCAACTGGAGTTCAAGTCTGTGATTTAACTGCAGAACTTGGAACCACAGGCCCTTCTGCACCCATGATGGGAGCAAGAACAAGCCTGGGTGGGCCAGGGCTCCTGGGGGAGACAGTTGAGTTGGGGGAGGGGGGCATCTGAGACGTCTATACGAATGTAGGGAGGACAGAGGGCCGCAGACCACTAACTCAAAAGGCCACCACCCTGAAAGAAGCTCAAAAGATGGGTCTGGTTTTAGGGTGCCCTGGGGGTGCAGCTAGGCCTCCAAAGAGGAGAGCCGGGGGGATAGACCCCAGAGCAGGGGATGGACCCCAGAGCAGGGGCCCACAGGAATTGGCTCGTGGAGGAACAGAGATGAAGGGCTCGGAGCTGGACTGGGGTCCCCCCACGCCTTCTGCCTTCACCCTGTGGCCCTCCCTGTCTGCTCTAGGATCTCAGAGGGTTAGGCAGCAGGGGAGGGGAGTTGCAGTAGGTTCCATCTCAGCCTTCTCTTCCCATCCTGGTTCTCAGCAGACCCTGGAGGCCCCTGGAGAGCAGGGAATTGGAGGGTCCCTCTGCTCTTCAGGGACCTGGTGCCCCATGCTAGTCCCCCCACGTGTGGACACAAACCGTACCTAGGATGAGGGAAGGGGCAGATGTCAGAAGGGCCCCAGCCCAAGGAGTGGCTCAGGACAGAGAGCCTCCCCGTCAGACCCCCATTCTGGGTCAGGAGCCCCAGGACTCACCTAGCATGTAGCACATCCTGGACTCCGGGATCCTCTTCATCAGCCGCCCCATGAAGAACTCGGAGCCGAAGAGCTCGCTGGGGATGTAGGCCCCATACTTCTGCAGCCCCACCTCATAGGGGGAGAACTCGCACCATTCTGCAGGCAAGAGCCGGAGGCTGGGAGCGTGCGGCCGCAGTTCCCCCCGCACGACACAGGGTGGCGCCCGCGACCGGCTTCTCTTGTCAGGACCTTTCCAGCGCCAGCCAAACCCTGCAGGACTCCACCTCATCCCACCCCTTCCGGAGGCTCACCGGCCCCACCTAACAGCAGGATTCTGGAAATGGGGGGCAAAGCCCATTTCTCCACCTGTCCGTTCAGCCTTCTGATGGTGGTGGTAGGTTGGCAAATGTGTGGAGGTTGGGGGCTGGGTACCTTTGCCCCTGGAGAATGCCCCTTCCCGGCTCCCCAACGTCACCTCTGAAGTCCTGGTTGCTGACATCGTCCTTGACGTTGATGGTGAGGTAGATGGGTAGGGGGTTCTGGCCGCGGCTCAGAGCCTCACGCTGCTCTGACAGTTTGCAGTCATTTTTCTGTGGGGGAAGGAATGTTCAGGGGGGCAAGGAGCAGACAGGCAGCCCGGGGCAGCCCGGAAGGAGGGGGCAGTTTCCATCCCTGGCAGCCCCTCTCCTGCCAGGCTGTGGTGGGGTCCCAGTAAACCACAGCACAGCAGTTCTTACAATGCCCCCTTACTGGATTATCCAATGTCCCCTCAGCCTTAGGCTGCACACCCAGGCAAAACAGGACCAATGGAGCAGGACCTTTAATTTAGGGCTGAGACTCAGTCCTTCGGTCTCCTCCTGTCTCAAGGTCCAGAGGATGAGAAGGGAGTAGGCGGCCACTCCAGCCTCCTCTGCCCTCCTTCATATCCAGTGACACCACTGCTTGCGAGGATTTTGCAGTCTGGGTTTCCCGGCAAATTTATTATTATTGTTATTATTACTATTATTATTATTATTATCATTATTATTATTGGTTTGGGTCCATATCTGGTGATGTCTAGAGGTTACTCCTGAGTCTGCACTCAGAAATCACTCCTGGTGGTGCTCGGGAGACCATCTGGGATGCTGGGGATTGAACCCCAGTTAGCTGTGTGCAAGGCAAGTGCCTTACCTGCTGTACTATCTCTCCAGTCCCCCTGTCAACTTTATTTGTGATAAAAACCACCACCACCAAAAACCCAATAACATTGAACACTGAGAACAGTCACAGAAGGCCTCACTGAAGTAACATGGACTGAAATGGCTCTGGCGTTTGGCTGTCGGGGTCATCTTGGGGGTCCCCTCTGTGTGGTGACTGTGAGAAGGAGCCCAGTCAGACACTGGTAACAAAGATTGTGATTACTGATGCTCAGCAATCTGAAGTGCGTCTGTTCTGCAGCTGCGTGGTGGGGACACTGAGGCAGGCCGACTGGGGTGTGGGGTTACCTTCTCCTCTAACAGCTAGTTTGGCTTGGAGGACTCGTTAGAACCTTCTAGAACCTTCTAAACCATGTGTGAGGGTGCTTCCTCCCAGCCTGTCTGGTCTCTGCTTCCTGAGAGCTCTCCAGCCCTTCCCTGCATCCTCCTTTCCCCAGACCCAAGGCTGCCTCTCTTCTGGGCTCAATCTCAGGCCCCCCTTAAGATCTCAGTCACATCAGAACACGATGTTGAGAGACAGTCCCCCGTCCGCCGCATCAAGCACTCCAGTGACACACCGTGTTCCACCCCGGCCCCTGCTGTGGGGAAAATGGGAGCAGGTGGCCCTACCTCGTCCCCCAGACAGGCCTCGATGAGCAGGCCCCAGAAATCCGTGAGGGTGACCTTGTAGCCCTCCTGGCTGCGCTGCCGAAGCTCTTCCTGGAACACAGCGAGCTGCTCCGGAAACAGGGCTGGCAGCTTGTCCTTGACCACGTGCCTCCGCGCCTCCATCACCGCCCGCTCCAGGTTTTTGGAGGACCAGTCGGGGTCACGATACAGGGTGGCCATAGTCCTGGAGAGAGACAGCAGCATGGACGTGGCTGAGCCAGCCCCAGTCCCTGCACCCCCAGACCCTGGCAGGAAACAGGGAGGTTACAGGATGCCTCGTCCGCCAGCAAAGGAGTCTAGAGGGAAGGAGCCTAGAGGGAAGGATACTCTGCCAGGGCAGGTGGGCGCCATGCTGAGCCCCTCCCTGCAGCCTCCGGGGGTTGGCTAAAGAGCAAAAACTGTTAGGGACAGTGAGTGTCATGCCTGAGGGACCCCCACTCCCTACGCTCAGGGGTTCAGACTTGGAGGAGAAGGGAACTTCACCACAGATCCCCTGCAGCCCCGACTCCTTACCATGTGGCCCCCGACAGGCCGGTGATGTAGCAGGCGCAGTCGATCATGTTGAGCTTCTGCAGCCCGAGCAGGTGGCCATACATGGCGCTCATGGAGCGGGTGCCACCCCCCGTGGCCATGATGGCAATGCGCGGGACCTGCAGGGGGGCAGTGGATGGGCAATGCTGGGAGTTGCCCAGAGGGACAGACAGACAGAGGCCGGGAGAGGCCTGGGGTGGAGAGCAGTGAGGGGGTGCGCCCGGTGCCAGCCAGGGGGCGCTGAACCTCCTCTGAGCTCAGGGAGATTGGAAAGTGAGCATGGATAAATGAGTCTCGGGAAACAGGGAGGAAGTGGGACTCTCTGAACCCTGGTGGAAGGTGGTGTCTGCCACTGCTGTGAGTCGGGCGGCAGCCCAGCCCAGCACAGGGAAGAGACACAAGTTCTCCCAGCTGTGGAAGGGCAAGAGGCAACTTAAAAAAATTCTTCTGTGGACCAGAGCGATAGTACAGCAGGTAGGCAGTACTATCTTGCACATAGCTGACCTGAGTTCAATCCCCAGCACCCCATATAGTTCCCTGAGCACTGTCAAGAGTAATTCCTGAGCACAGAGCCAGGAGCGATGCCTGAGCACTGCCAGGTGCGGTGCAAAAACAAAACGAGAAATCGTTTTGTTTCTGTGCAATGTTCTGTGCAATGACCAGTGATGTGCAGGAGCTGCTCCAAGCCATGCTTGGGGGACCATGAGGTGCTGCAGATAGAACTTAGGGCTCCCACATGCAAAGCATGCACTTAAACCCTTCAAGCTATCTCTCTGCTTTTTTACTTAATTTTATCTATTTATTTTGGTTTGGGGGCCACACCCAGCAGTGCTCAGGGCTTACTTCTGGCTCTGCATTCAGAAAACACTTCTGCTGGGGCTTGGGGTGCCATATGGGGTGCTGGAGACCAAACCCAGATTGGCCATGTGCAAAGCAAGCACCCTACCCACAGTACTATTTTAAAATAATTTTTAAAAATATTTTAATTTTTTGTTTCACAGTGCTCAGGGCATACTTCTGACTTTGTGCTCAGGGATCATTCACTCCTGGTGGGGTAACAGGAACAATATGGGGTTCTGAGGATGAAACCCAGATCAGCTATGTGTAAGGCGTGTGCCCGCTGTATTATGGCTCCAGTCCCTAATTTATTTTTTATTGAGGTAACGTGTTTACAAGAGTGTAAATGTTTATATGCTTTAGAGCTGTGAAAGAAACAGAGCCACACCTGCCCTGGTTGACACCTCTGCCCTCGCAAGGCACTGTGTTGGAGGGGAGAGGCTGACCCCTCAGCTCCTACTGCTCGTCTGCATTTTCTTCACCCTGCAGTGTTGAGTGGCAGGGGTGGGGTCTGGTATCTGAGATTAAACTCAGGACTCCACACATGCAAGGTCTGCCCCCGTGGGTAATCTTTATTGGGGAACATGCATATTTTGGAGGAGAGAGGATTGAAAAATGAGGAGCCTCAGCCCTCAGGGATGGGGGGTCTAAGGGGGACAGGGAGTGCCCCGGGAGCCAGCTCAGGCTGGCAGTGCACTGGGAGCACAGCTGGGGCTCTGTGATCTCTGTCTCTCCCCTGCCCACCCCCTCCCATGTGCGCTTGTGCACACACACATTCACACACCCATGCACGCATGCACGCATGCACACACACACACATGCATATGTACATGCACACATACACACAGGTGCAAATAAACGCACACACATGTACACACATGCACACATGACTCATGCATGCACACACACCTGCACATATACATACATGCACACACATGGACACAGACACAAACAGTACACACGTACACACATGCATGCACACACATGTGTACACACACATATACACATGCACACACATACATGCATGTGCACATGCACATATGCCCATTCACACACATATGCACATATGCACGTACCCACTTGCACATGCACACAGATACACTCATGCACACACAGAAACACATACGCATACACATGCATGCACACACATGCACAACTAATGCACAAACACATGCACACACATATGCACACACACTTTCACACATGTACACACACACACACACGGCTGGGAGACAGACTGGAAGGGCTGTGGTGGTGGGAGGATGGACCCACCTCGTCAGCCTGCAGGTCCTCCTCCAGCTGCAGCACCTGCTTCAGGGCCTGGGCCGCCACCGCCTCTCGCTTCTGCAGAAACTCCTGCTCAGCTTGGCACACGCTGAAGCCCAGCCGCACATCCAGTGGTGGGAAGCTGTGGAGAGAGGACTGGGGCTGAGGGGGTCTGTGCCTTCAAGCTTCATGCAGGAAACAGTGCTGGGGTGAGGGGAAGCTCTTTGAGACTTAGACTTCTTAGACTTAGACTTCTCATCTGTACAATGGGGCCATCTTGCTCCCCTCCCTCCACTGGCATCTGCGTGAGGTAAGACAGAGAGTGGACAGGCCCTGACGCCCTCTCTGGTACCCCGAAAGCAGGTGGGAGCAATCAGGGGGGCAGGGAATCCTTTGTCTCCTCAGAAAAGTTCAGGATGGCTTTTCCCCAGCCCCTTTTTCTAATTCGAGGCCATTCTTGGGTGAAAAGGAGCCCCGAGATCCGCAGGACCCATCCCTCTAGACAAAACTCTGCATCAGCGCTCTGGGAGCTGGCCCAACCAGGCCATGTTCCCGTCTGGCTGGCTGGAACTCCTGCTTGGGGAAGCGCCTCCTGCTCCAGGCTCATAATCGTCCCGTGAGTCTGTGGCCACTCAAATCTGTCCCCGCCCTGATCTCACAGCTCTGTAGCGCAGGCGGGGCAGGAGCTGCCACAGCATGCCTGGAGCTTGCCCTCCTTTCATTCCATCCCTGCCCTGAACCAGTCCAGGCTGCCCAAACTCTGCCTGCCTTGTCCCACCTGCCGCCACTTCTGGTAAGGACCCTGAGAAGAGCCCAGGAGTCATTCCGGTTCTGAACCTCTGCAGGACCTCTCGCCTTCACGAGATGCCCCCTCTACCTCACCACCCCCACTGTCTGCGCCTCCATCCTGTGCATCTCTCCCCAGATCCAGTCCCTCTACCAATGTAACTGGGCAGTGGGCCCTGAGTCTTACTGCTGTGATTCACATCCCCTTGAAGGGAAAGCCCTGGAAGGCTCCCAGCAAGTTTCCCATGCTCTAACACAGGGCAAAGGTACAGAGCAACGGGGAGAACTCTTTCCAGGGCCTCAGGACATGGCAGCCAACACAGCAGCAGGAGCTGACAGTTACTGAGCTCCATGGTGGGGCAGACTCCCAAGCACCTCACGTGAGTTCATTCATGGAGCCTGGAAGCAACCCAACCAGGGGTAGTGCTCTCGATTCACTCCAATTTACACAGATACAAACTTGTGTTCAGGGACACAGAGCTAATCCAACCCTCAGTGGAAACTCTAGCAACTTGACTTTCTATCAGGGTGCCAACATTATTCAAAGGGGGAGAGAAGAGACTTTCAATAAACGGTGCTGGGTCTCCAGAAGTTCCACTTGCCAAAGAAGGAAGTCAAGCTTCTATTTCACACTGTCTACAAAAAGTAAACGAACTCAAAATCCATCATAGACCTGAATGTGAGCACTAGAATTCTGAAACTCCTGGAAGAAACTGTGGCTCCAAGTCCTCATATCCTGGATTAGATCAGGGGTTCTTAACGATACTTGCAAAAGCCCAGGAGATAAAAGGAAACTCTGTAAATCCACTGGGATTCACCAACACATAGCACTTCTTTGCTTCCAAGGACACCAGCCAGAATGTGAAAAGAACACCCCTGGAATAGGTGGGAGTGTTTGCAAATTGTGTTTTGGATAAAGGGTTTGTATCAAGAACATAGAACTCTTAGAACTGATGAAAGGGACATAACTCACTTTAAGAATGGGCAAAGTGGGCTGGAGCGATAGCACAGCGGGTAGGGTGCTTGCCTTGCAAGTGGCCGACCTGAGTTTGAACCCCAGCATCCCATATGTCCCCTGAGCACCACCATGAGTAACTCCTGAGTGCAAAGCCAGGAATAACCCCTGAGCATTGCCAGGTGTGACCCACAAAGACAAAAAAAAAATGGGCAAAGAATTTGTTTGCCCAATGATGATGTACAACTAGTCAACAAGCCCGTGAAAAGAAGTTCCCTGACATGAGCCCTCAGGCAAATGCCCATCAAAACCAGGCACACCCCAGGATGGCTAAGTCAGTGGGGTGGGCGGAGACAGATCACGTTACCAGGTCGCAGACTTCATGTGCAATTCACAGTTGTCGCTCTGGGAAGCAAAAGAAGAAAAGTGTGATTGGGGTAGCTGTTCGAAGCTAAAGGGCCTGGGGCAGAAAATGAAGGCCCACGTCACTGTTCCTTCTTATCCGCCTGCCAACACGCACACGCGCGCACTGCACACCCCAGCATGCTCTCTCCTGGACCACCTCCCCAGCGTCCCTCTGCTCCCGCACTCTCTCTTAAAGGGCTCCACTGTGCTCAGCTCTCTCCCATCCCATGGCTCTTCTATTCTGCTGAAGACACCTCATGAGCTGCCATCCCCCTGGCCGTTCCCCTCCCCGAGCTGTCCCCTCCTCCCTGCCTCAGGACCCCCAGTGAAGCTGCTCTGGAGGCGCCCTACCCTGACCCATGCTCTCACCACAGGCAGGGTCCTGGCCTCCCTGTCTCGGAGACCGCCAAGGGGCTGGCAGACGGGATCCTTCCAGCCCACGCCACAGCAGAGCTGGAAAGAGAGGCGGCGTCTGTAAGGGGGTTGGCGAGGGGCTCCTCTGGCAGCCCCACCTGCCCAGCCCCACCGCCACCCTGCCCTCGCAGCCCTGTACCCCACAGCTCCAGGAGCTCCTGGGCCGCTCCACGTGCATGCGGGGCCGGAAGTACTGGGGGTAGTGGAAGCAGGCGGGGTTGGCGCAGTGCGAGAGGCGCTGGGTGTGCTCGAAGGACTCCTTCACGGTCACCAGGAGGTCCTTCTCTGGAAGGGACAAGAGGGTTGGACCCCGGGAGACTCCCTTCATCACCCTGCTTGGCCTAGTGAAAAGCCGGAGACCCCTGGATTAGGCCCAGGCCGGGTGAAGTGTCCCAGAATCTCCCCGCAGGGACTGTGTTCTTTCCTTGCTTATTTATTTATTTTTGGTTCTCAGGGCTAACTCCTTGCTCTGCGCTCATGGGTCACTCTTGGCAGACCTTATGAAGTGCCAGGGATCATACCTGAGTCTGCCACATGCAAGGCAAATCCACACTTGCTGCTATATTATCCCTCTGAGTATACTATCTCCCTCCCCTTTCCTTCCCTCCCCTTCTTTTAAAATCTATTTTTTTTGGAGTTTGACAAATTTATTAGTATTTTAGTAAAGATATTCATTTCAGTCATTTCTCTCTCCCGACATAGGTTAAAATCTATTTTTAAAATTTTATTTTCATATTTACTTTATTTAGGCACTGCGATTTACAAAGCAGTTGAACAGAGTTTCGGGCATTCAATGTTTCAACTCCAAACTCATCACCACTGTCAGAACCCCTACACCGATAAGGGAATCTGCATCTTAACTGGGCAAGGGGAAATACTGACAAATGAGGTCCTGGGGAAACCCTGGGAGAGTCTGGGTCCTCTGTCTAGTCTCCCCCAACCCACCCCAACCTCCCTCCTACCGGTTGAAAGCGATCCCCACCACAGGGCCAGTTTGGAGGAAGAGGCCTCCCCCCACCGCTCCAGGTCTGGAGGCTCTGCTGCTTCCCACATGGGCGGAGTTGGAGGCCTTTCCCCGGTGGAATGGGAGGGGCCTGGGTCTCGGCCAGCTATGGGATTCTTGGACTCTGGGGCTCAGAGGAAGAGCCCTGAGTGTTGTCAGTGTCCTTTGGTTGATTGCTGAGTTAGGCACTGGACTAGGAACACCTGTACTGGCAGGGGTGACTCACTGACCAGGGTGGGCTACGTGGGCAGCGCCATGCCCAGAGCATTCAGCAGCTCGAGTTGCAGTGACATGAAGGGGGCTGGAAAGGTAGCCTCTTGTGAGGACCCCAAGGAGCCTCATCAACCTTCTGGTTCCCTGATCCGAGGGGTTCCGATAGCATGCGCTCCCCTGGCGACCCCAGGCAGAGGTCAAAGGACTCACTTTTCCCGTACTTCTTTCTCCTCCTACATTCAGCATAAATATCCAGGCGGGAGACTTGCCGGGACTGAAACAGAAGGAGGGCAAGATTGGCTGCCGGAGCAGGGGTATGCAGTAGAGGACAAGCTCAAGGCCGCTTCTCGAACCCTGGCTGTGCTGACCCTAGTCTCTGAACCCCATCAAGGCTGTTTGAGAATCAGTGTCCAGAATAGACCCAGGCTGCCGGTCACCAGCCGCAAGGGGCCACGTTGTCTGTCACACCACAGGGCCCCTGAGGGGTTGCTCTGAGAGCACCAGAGGGAGCCTTCTATGCTGACCCTGAGAACTGAAACATCACTAAAGACCGGTGAAGCCGTGAGCTCCAACTCCCATGGCCAGAGTTTTACCAGGACCCACCGCCTGGTCTCCTGAGGCTTTGGCTGTGTCTGGTTGAAACGAATCAGCATGGCTTAGATTACTCAGGTGTGCTGTGCCCAGGGAGAATCTGGGGGAAATTGGAGACTGGTTCTGGGAGGAGGTTGCATCCTCTGTGGGGTGCCCACAGGAAGCAGTGTCTCTGTGTGTGTGTGTGTGTGTGTGTGTGTGCGCGCGCACACACACACACATGTGTTTGTGTGAGGTAAGGTCTGACAGGAAGGGGCGTCCCTGTGGGTTGATAGGAGACACAGAACCTGGACACTGACATCCCAGAGCCCGCAGCCACTCCAGCCCTATCTACCACCCTCTGGTGACTCCTCTGGTCCCCCATTTGTGCTGGGCCTGGGGCTTCCTCGCACTGTTCTGGTCCCCAGAGAGCAGCAGCCACCGTGGGACCAGAAAGACAGTTACCACCAGCACGCCGTTTGTGATGAGGGTCTCGGGTGGATCAGGGCTGAAAAACAAAATGAGGAACTTTGCTCAGTGACACTGGTCTATTGATTGATTGTGGTGCCAGGAGCAAACCCAGGGCCTTACACTTGCATAGTGAGTGTTTTACCACTGACGGACACACATACATATATATGTACACACACATATATACTTTTCTTTGGAGGGTTGGGGTTGTTTGGGTCCCTCCAGGTGGTGCTCAGGGTTACTCCTGACTCTGAGCTCAGAGATTGCTCCTGGAGGTGCTCAGGGTATCTTATGCGGTGCATGGCAAATGCATACCCCTGTACTATCTCTCCAGCCTATGTCAGTTTAATCATTCTTGACTGATTTCTTACAAGGGTGAGGAAGAGCCTGAATAGAGTCAATGGTAAGAGGGCAGAAACTTTTTGGTCATTATGAAAACGGTTGGCTTGAAAAACCTTCCCTCTGTACGCTGTAAGGAGAAACATGGGATTCATTGAAAATAGAATGTTCAAGGGTCCCTGGAGTGGCTTAAGGGCTAAAAGCACCTGCCTAAGAAGCTTGAGATCCTAAATTTGATCCCTGGCACTGCCTACATGCACCCAGTGTGGTTCCTGCAGCTCTCTGGGACTTCCCCTACCCCGGTGCCACACAAGAATGCCATGTCTGCTGAGTTGAGCACCGCAGCTAAAGCATGTCCCTGCTGTGAGATAGACGTGTGCCCGCTAATGAATACCCTAGCCACGTGTGTGAGACATGGGCAGTGCACCTACAGCAACGAAGGGAGAAGGGAAATAAGAAAATGGCTAAGTAGAAAGTCCAGGATAAAAAGAGACAAGCAGATTCACAAATTAGAAGGAAGAAGTTTCCCTCTAAATTAGAATTGTCTTTCCTGCCTACCCACATCCAGCTATACAGAGCAGCGGGCATAAGAAGGTGATGGGGGGCCGGACAGACAGCTCAGTGGGCTGGAGCACAGGCATTGCTTGCATTGTATCTCCAGTACTAAATTGGTACCTAGAGCACTGCCAGGAAAACCCCCCTGAGTGTTGAGTTGGGAGTACCTCCTAAGCACTGCTCATAAAAAAAAAAATAGACCAAAAGATCCAGAGGTTTCCACCAGCAGTGGAAACAGTCAGGTAGCGCTCTGTCTCGATACACCGTCTTTCTTTTTGGAGTTTCTGATCCATACGAAGAGGGGCCTGGAGGAGGTATAATGTCCTTAGGTTCTCAAGCCAAGAGTACAAGCTTCCAGGATAGCAGAGCCACAACTTCTATGCTAAAGCCAAGCCCAAGAGGACTCCAGACTAGCTCTGTGGGCCAATCTGACATCAATCATTTTGCAAGTTACTTTCTCATTTGGTCAGAGAACCGGTTGCCTTCCTAAAACCGGTTGCCAACCCCAGAGTCAGAGGAGGTAGGGAGCCCCGAATTTCTCCAGCGTGAGACTAATAAACTTGAGTTTAATTTGTCCAATTAAAGGAAAACATAAGTTGACTTTTAACGAGGCTCCACAAGTCGTTCCAAGAGCCCCAGGCAGAGCTTCTCCCAGCTGGAGACAAGCTCCTGCCCAGCTCCTGCCTCTCCTCACCCATCCCGTACCCTGTCCTGTCCTTGGACTAAACAAGAGTGCAGGGTCAAGAAGAGAGGTGAGGGGGTGCCCAGTCACCAAGCATTCTAGAATAGACCCTTCCCCTTCCCTCGCGGCCCCTGCTCTGCCCTCTCTCTTAATCCTTTCACCCAACCTCCAGTGCAATTCCACCAGGTTTTAACATAATCAGCCCCACACAGCACCTTGGGCCACTGGCATATTGAAAAGGGGGTGGAAATAACCCCTTTATCAAGCCTGTGATGCCCCTGACTAGCTTCCAGAATTGCCTTTAGAGGGGTTTGGTTGTGGGGCTGTGGTGAGGGGGTTGTTTTAATAATTGGGATTGAAGAAATAGACCCTTGGTCCAGGCCTCTTCCTCTTCTGCCTAGATTCAACAAGCCCCCTCCCCCAGACCAGTATACTGGGTTTGTAAAAATAATTATAATTGGGTCAGAAACATAGTACAGTGGGTAGGGCACTTGCCCTGCATGTCACAACCTGGGTTTAATCCCCAGCATCCCATATGGTCCCCCCCGATCCCTGCCAGGAGTGATTCCTGAATACAGAGCCAGAAATAACCCCTGAGCATTGTCCTGTGTGACCCAAATGACCCTTCCCAATATTTCTTTAAAATATAATTATAATTTTTTAAATTTTAGTTGAGGTGACATGGTTACAATAGAAGTCACATTTGGACATTTGGGAGAAGGCAGATGGAATAGAGAAGGTATCACTAAGTCAATGATAATTGGAGGGATCCTTTAGGAGGGGAGATGTGTGCTGAAAGTAGATAAAGGACCAAACGTGATAGCCTGTCAGTTTCTATATTGCAAAACATAATGCCCAAAAGTAGAGAGTATGGGGGAATTGTCTGCTGTAGAGGCAGGGGGAGGATGGGATGGGCGGGGGAGATACTGGGGAGGTGGTGGAAAATATGTGTTGGTGGAAGGATGGTGTTCGATCATTGTATGACTGAAACTCAAACATGAAAGCTTTGTAACTGTATCTCACAATGATGAAATAGAAAGAAAGAAAGAAAGAAAGAAAGAAAGAAAGAAAGAAGGAAGGAAGGAAAGAAAAAAGTCACATTTATGGTGTTAATGTACAAAGTCACTGTACCTCACTAAAGTGCCCACCTCTGGTTCAGTCTTCACCTCCTGCACACACCCCACGTCCCCACTACTGCTTGCTATTGTGCAGCCCTGGGCCCGTGCTTACCCTTCTCTCTCCTCTTGCTTTGTGACTCTGCAGTCTGCAGATAGTGACATCACCGGCCTTTCTCCTTCCCCCTCTGTTTTATTTCACTCAGCCCCACTGGCGCCCCATAAGTGGAATACGAGACCTTCCCAGGCAACACTGTTGTCAGCAGGAAGTTGAGAGAGGTTGGACCTAGCCCCCAGGCCCCAGCAGCTCACACGTGATTCAGAGGTACTAGAGAGGCGGAAGCTGAGTGGGACAGGGGAGGCAAGGCCAACTCTGAATGCCTGATGCTTGCAAACTGTCTTGGGGGTGAGGATCTTGGGGGCCACTCACCTGTCCTCCAGCAGGAACTCCACTTCCAGCTCTTCCATGCCCTGTTGGGGGAGGAAGAAGGACCCCCGTGAGCTGCCTCTGAACAGCGCTGGCCCTGCCCGCTTGGGCCTGTCTTCCCATGCAATGGGCCCGCTGTCCTGGAGACTCTGTCGCCATGTCTTTGACATCAGAGATATCACAGAGGAGGGGTGGGGGCACGGAGTTGACCCCCAGCCCTGCAGACAAATCTCCATCACCCCCTCTCCTGCCTTCCCAAGGGGGTTCAGCACCCAGCCGCAGCAAAAGAGCAGAGTTCCAGCTCCCCGGCCAGCTCAGCTCCAAGGATGGGGACCCCTTCTCTCCTCTGCCTCTTGGCACTTTTTCCGTGAACTTCAGGGACTTGTGCGTCCCTGGCATAGGGCTTGGCCTGAACTGTCCTGATGCTTATTGAGTAACAGGATTTGGGACAGACCTTCTCTGATCTGCCTGTTTCTTCCATCCCTGGTCCCTGGGACCCTCCCAGCAGCACTGGCCGAGGGTAGAAAGGGACCTGATGGGACCTCACGCCTCCACTGTTCTCGTGAACAGTGCTGGGAGTCTGCACAGGCTCACAACAAGCCTACATAGCCATGAAGCCATCGTCCGTCATGAGGTGGCCCATGGACAGAGGGTGAGGACCCCCACACCCTCCTCCGCCACTCCTGTAGGGTGTCAGGGGAACAAGCCCAGGATCCTGCCAGGATCCTACACTCACCTCTGGGTTGAGTGGAAACTTAACATGGGTTTTCTTGCGGAAGCACAGCTTGGTGAGGTCGTAGAGGACCGTCAGGAGGTGGTCGTCTGGCGTCAGCGTGTCTTCATCACACACACTCAACTCTAGCACATTCTGGGGGAGCAGAGGGGTGTGCCCGGTTCAGCCTGTGGCTTCAGTCACAGTCTCCAGTGGGAGGTTCGGGCGGGAGGGTCTGCGGGATGGGGCTCCCGCTCAGACATTTGAGGGAAGTGACTGAAGGCCAGGACGGGTCTGCTCTGCCTCACCCACTACACAATGTGGCTGTTCTCTCCCTGCCACATAGGAAGGAAGGGCACAGGGAGAATGGGATTATGACTGTTGCCAAGATGTGGAATGTGATGGGCACTCAGGCCTTGGGGGTTGAAGAGAGCCCACTCGGTGCAGAAAATCAGATGCAGGGGGAGAGAGTGTCCCGAACCCCTGGGGAGTGAGCCAACAATGATTTCAACAAGGATCAAGGAGCCGTGATCTTTGAGGGGTCGGGAAGACATGTTGAGCTTCTTCATCTATAGGCTCCTGATTTTGTCATGGAGAGCTCCTGGAAGCTTCGAAAGCAGTTTGTCGGGTGACGAGCAACTACCCTGTGTCCTGACTGAAGTCATGAAGGTTGGTTGGGGCCAGCTTTTCCTGCTGACTTTGAAATGACCAGAAACTCATGTGTGTCCTCAGACCACAACAAATCCAGATTTTGAAGTCTACAGTGAGATTCCCACTTCACCAAAACCATACATGTATGATATAAGAAATATTTTCATTTTTAATGGGGAGGGGGTTGGGCCACACCCAGCAGTGCTCAGGGCTTACTCCTGACTCTGTGCTCAGGGTTCATTCCTGGTGCTTCTCAGGGGGACCATCTGGAGTGTTGAGAATCAAACATACAAGGCAAGCCTTGCCCCTCTTCTATGTCTCTGGCCCCAATACATTTTTCTTTTGGGCCACGCCCAGAGATGTTCAGGGCTTACTCCTGGCTCTCCCCAGGGATCACTCCTGGCTGGCTTGGGGGACTATACTCATATTTAATTTTTTAAATAAGGGCCGTACTTGGGGCACTGGGGTTGGGGCGGGGCCACTTCTAGTGTTGCTCAGTCATGAGGATCTGATAGCTCAGTGCTCAGGACTGGCAGTGCTCAGGGGTCATGTTGGGCAAAGGATCGACTCAGGACCTTATACATGAGGCATGTACTGTACCACTCACACTACCTCCCTGACCCTAAAAAGTATTTTTAGAGCAACAACTATACGTTACTGGGCCCGCTCGATAAATTTAAAAAAATATAAATAAAGTACTGAATATAAAACCCTCTGCGAGAATAGAATGGACTCATTATGGAACAGAAATGAAGAGACCCTCGGAACAGGGAACCAGTCATCGTTGGAGCTGTCATGCCAGGGTTGGTGCTCATGAGGAGGCCACGTGCAAGGTAAGGGCTATCTGTCGAGGGGCCATGCCTTGGGATGCTCAAGGGGGAACTCACCTAGGAGATGTGAACTTGACCTAGAGTCAATGTCTATTGGAAAAGACCATGGCCATGAATCGACTTAACCAAGAAATGAACATGCACCCCAGGGATAGGTGAAAACAGAGACACCGAAACAAAATTTAGGGGATAAAAAGCCCCTGACTGGGATTAGAGGGCATGGGGACCAGACTCTATTCAGCTTCTTTTTCCACTGTGCTCTATTTAGGGGCGAGAAGCAGCCAATTCTAGTAACAATTGCTTATGAGAAAGTGAGAAGGAAGGTAGGAGAGAGACACGCAAAGGGAGAAGTGTGAGAGGCATGGGAAGGGAGGAGAGAGAGAGAGACAGAGAGAGAGACAGAGAGAGACAGAGAGACAGAGAGACAGAGAAAGAGAGGAAAAGAGGAGAGAGGGGTGAGAGAGAGAAAGGAAAGAGGGTTAAGAGAGGAAAAGGGAGGGAAGGGAAGGGGAAAGAGTAGAAAGACAGAGGCAGAAGACAGAGCAAGGTCAGGAAAAGGGACTTGAGCCCCGTGGCGGGGCTAAGCACTCCCCCACAGCTCACCTTCACTTGGCTCTGGATCTGGAAGTCAAAGCTTTCGTTCCACTCGGGGTTGGGGCAATTGGAGATGGTCCTGGTCCTCAGCCTGTCCTTGGAGGCGGTGGGCAGCCAGAGGCTCACAAAGCAGTCTGTCTGGCTCACTGCCCAAGATAAAGGGAGAGGGCTGAGGTGTGGCTGGACCCGGAAGGAGCCTGTGGGAGCTTGAGGAGCCTTCCCCAGGCCAGAGAGAAGTCTGCGGGTGCACTTCAATCACCCCCCACCCCAGTCCCCCTGAGCCTGTTCTTCCAGGACCTGCGGCCTAGAATCTGGACTGAGTCATGGCGGCTGCCCAGTGATTTCATGGAGCATGCCCAGCTCCTGCTGGTCATGCTCTTGTCCTCTGCCAGAGGACAATCTGGACGACCAACCCCATAGAGTCCAGTAGACCCCTTGCCTTCACCCAAGTCTCCTGAGAAACCAAAGCTGGACCAGAGCTTCTCCTGGCCTGAGGAGAGGTGTGAATGGGAAGGGAAACCCTTGGCTGCGAGTGGCCCACAGAGAAAGGGCTTGGGTGGAACAGCAGGATGTAGGTGGGGACCTCCACCTCAGTGGGACCCAACCTCTTCACACCCACCCAGTCTCCTCGGGTGAGGTTGTGACCCAAGAAACCCTCACAGCTGAAATCACATGCTCAAAACAAAACAACCCCCCCCCCTATTTATTTTAATTAAAAAAGAACAACCCATATGTGATGTTTCTGACGTGGTCTAGAGAAGGAAAAGCTCCTTTACCCCCCAGGGAAGGGCTCTTAGACCCTCTGTCTGGACCCGCAGGAGGGAGAGTGTAGATGAACCCAGTTTCCTCCCTCAACTCTGCATGGACAGACAGACGGATAGACAGAGGTAGGTGTCTCTCTCCAGAACCTACAGGCCGAGGCCCAGGCTGCACATGGGTCTTACGGAAACAGAGTCAGTTTGATTTCCAGAATCTGGATGCTGAAGTGAGTGAGGAGACTTTCTGTACTTGCAGAACTGGGCCAAGCAAGTGGATAATCATTATCAAAAATATCCAATTAGTATAGAGCAAGTGGTGTTCCCTGGACTTAATCCTCCACTGTTGCCACACAGAGTTAAGAGCTGGAGTTTGGGTCACAGGTGTCCCTAGCTCCTGACTTCATCCCTTGTCTGGTTAGCCTGTGAGGGCTCATCAGTCACTGAATTGGAATTCTCTGCCCTTCTTCCTCTGGATGAAGGTTCAGTGTCATTCTCATCACTCAGCACAGACACAAAAATGGCCCAGATTCCACAGGATCAAGAGAGTGATGAGTTGACCATTTCCACCTTCTCACTGTCAACTCAGGTTGATACCAAGAATTTTCCCGTTTGGAGAATTGATGTTGTCCCTTCCCTTCAGCCTGTTTATTTCTCCTCACAGCTCTGCCACTACCCTGGCACATGCCTCATCACTTTCTGATGGCCTTTCCTGTCTTCTGCCTTACCCTAATCAATCTTTTTTTTTTTTTGAGAGAGAAACCAAATAAATGTTTGTAAATATTATCATGCCACTTCCCAGTTTAAGATCCTTCCAGAGCTCCCATCTGTCCTCAGGAAGGCACCCCAAGACAGCATGGTCACCCCTACACACTAGCTCGTCATCCACCCTCGCCATCACCTAGCCGCACACACACACACACACACATACACACACACTCATGTACAAACTTATACTCACACACGCACTCTCACTCTCTTACTCACATACTGACACACACACTGGCCCATATTTACATATAAACTCATGCACCTACTTTCATCTACACATTTGCACACACACACCCATGCACCCTAACACATACACTGATACATACACACACTGGCATGCACATACATATTCATACTCACTGTTACACACACACTCACACATACACTCTCTCTCATACACACATTCTCTTTCCCTCTTTCCCACACACACATTTTTTCTCTCTCTCTCTCTTACACACACACACACACACACACACACACACACACACACACAACTCCCACCAGCCCAGTCATGTGTAGGTCCCAGGAGGAGGGAACACAATGTCCTGTTATTCCTTCTGCCGAGGACACTTTTGCTCTCCCTGGCTGACACCTTCAGATTTCAGAGGGAACTCTGGTCATCTTCCGTGAGCCCCCAGGTCTGGGCCAGGCGCCCCTCTCATCAGAGCTCTCTGCTCTCCCAGGAGCACTAGACAGAGCATGGACACCACAGGTGGGTTTGTGTGTCCCCCCACCCCACCCCTTCCAGGGCACTGGGAGGCCTGGGCATGGTCTCTAGCCTGAAAGTGTAGTGGGAACTCACTCAAAGTATAAGACTGAATGAAAGAATGGGAAAGGTCCAACTTCCTGCCACAGGCTCATGTCAGAACCCCAGAGAAATGGCCACAGTCACCATAGATAGAGGTAAGAGGACCTCAGGAGGCTCAGGGGACCCTGCTCCATCCTCCTGGATTTTCCAGGACACTGGCTGCTCCCGTGCAGACTGGCAACCTTTTCCTCAGGCGAGGAGTTTCAGGCACGGACATGCTGACTCCTTAACCATAATTTTATGAACCTATGAAGGCCCCCTTTCCTCTAAAATACCATCCTTTCCTCAGAAAATGCCACAGAACTCATTCATATACTGTTCTGGGCCTAAGACTTAGGTCTCTGGTTGCAATAAAAATAGTCTCAACAGAGACCAGATTAATCCGACACCCACACTTCAAGCATCTGTTTTTTAAGGTTTTTGGCAAAGAGCTGTTCCTGCCTCACTCTCCTCCATGGGCTAGGGAGAAGGAAAGTGCAGGGCCCAGTGAGGTGCGGATGGAAGCCAGAGCTGCTGGGCCCCATGACAGCCTGTGTCTGGTATCGTTCGCTGACTCTGAGGAGGGACAGGGCGCGGGCAGTGCAAGGTCAATGAGGCAACACGGCCCAGTTTCGAGGCCTCTCAGAAACTGCTGGGGATTCCTGGGCTCAGGCAGGTTCTAGTCCTGTTCCTCAGGGAGTGACGCAGGGCTGGGTCATTGGAATGACGTCTCCTTTCCTGGACTGTGGGTGGCAAGATGACTCAACGCCTTCTGCAGCAGGGGGGGAGAGGGGGAGCATTATCTCCCCAGTACCTCTGGAGACTCCAGCTTCCGTTCCCGCTGTGGAGCTGGCTTCCTTTTCCTCCTGGCTGCTGGGAGATGCTGGGTCAGCTGTGTGCCCCTCCCTGATGACCAGATCCTCCCTGAATCTCATCCCCTCCCAGTTCTGTGAAATCTCAGGGAACTTGAGCTCAGCACAAAGAACCAAGCCAGAGACGAAGCCAGCTTTGAACTCAAGCCAGGAGGGAACAATCTCGGATGGGGCTAAGCCTTGAAAAGCATGAAGACTTGCCCCCATCCCAAGTGGAAGGATGGCAGCTGAGCCCCCAGGGGACCTTAGGGCACCTGGGGGAGTCGGGGGAGGCATGGGGAAGCATGGCAGAGCCAGCATCCAGACCCAAGGCAACCTGGGCTGGCACCTTTGCTCCCATGTATGCCTCCAACCCTGTTTCTCAGGGGAAATGAGGAAAACATAAACAAGGGGAAACCAAAGGATTCCAGGTCACCTCTAAACTGCAGCCTCAGTGCCCAAAAGCATGTTGGGGGAGAAGAGAATGTGGCGGAGCAAAACCAACCCCCTCGTGCTCACCACAGCCCCAGTCACTGGGATGCTGAGATGGGGTGCAGCCAAGAGAGGGGACCGTGGACAGGGCACCCCAAGAGCAGAAGGAGGGCGCAGCTGCTGGGGTGTGGGAGTCGTAACTGCTTCTGAGGGAAATGGGGTGGACTCTGCCCAGCAAGGGTGGCACAGTCAGAAAAGGCAGCTGGATCTGGGCCCAGAGGCCACAGTGGGCAGCTGGAGCCCTGAGTAATCTGAGAGACCGGGCTCTGGGCAGACACAGAACTCACCTGAGACTCAGCGGACTCTCACTCCCTGCAGGCTTGTGATTTGGACATTGCATACTCAGTGGTTGGTGGTGGGTGGGGGGGTCAGAATCTAACTGACCCCTTGGCCTCTCTGGACCCCTCAGTTAAGTTATAGTGGACCTGGAGTTGGGGGGTCAGCACATCCTGAGTGGGCCCCAAGTGGGGACCTTAGAGCTGTAAGAGGAGATGGATTCTGCCCTCATCACTGAAACTATAGAATGTGGGGGATCCAGGAAGGCACTCAGAAGGGCTGGGGGGTTCTGAGGAGACCACAAACCCTGCTGGGGGCTGGCCCAGGTCCACAACCTCTGATCCCCCATGAGAGGAGCTGCAGGGCCCATCTTGCTGGAGGGGTGCTGATTGCTGCATGTGGGGTCAGGGTTGGATCCCACGTCTGGAGAGTTGGGCATCTGGGGGACCAGCGCGGGGAGGATACTGGTGCTAATCAGTGAGTGGGCGCCCAGGATTGGACAGAGGTAAGTGGGAACCTCAGGAAGGGCATGGAGTCCCTGGGGAAGCAATGAGTCTGTCCCAGAGGGGTCTCTGCAGACAGGGAGAGGCAGAATGGCAGGAAGAGCCATAACACAGCAGGGAGTGGCACGTCCCGGACCGTGCTGGGCTCCCAGGGTCCCAGCTCTCTTGAGCCCATGTCTCAGTTCTACCTGCCCTCACAGCTCCATTCCTGGGCAGGCAACTGCAACTCGCCTGGATACCTCATGTGCTCTGGAATCCCCCACCCCTAACTCTGAATCCCTCCACAGACTCCTAGAACCCTTTTCATGGAGCTATGGGGAACCTGGTGGCTGCCAGGATGCTCCTTGTGGGGTCCCAAGTCAGTGGGACCCTCCCTCAGTCATGGGGCCATGCAGAACTTTCTCCTCCTTGAGGGATCAATTCTCTGGATGGGGGGAGATGCTAGAGGCAGCATCGTTTCACTTATGGGATGGGTGAGGGTTTGGGTTCTCCAGACCCCTTGAAATGCCACCACAGAAACAGGTGGGGGAGGAGTCTCCCTAGATGCTTTCTTCCTGCCTGCAGCCACATTGCCCAGCCTGGCAACACTGCAGAGCAGGGCCATGGTAACATCAAGGCTGTGAGAAAACTGCAGCAAGGTCTGCTCCAGTCAGACCCCACCATGCTTCTGCCATGGGCCCCAGAGCCCAGCTGGGAATCTGCGCTCTGAGGCTGATTGCTGGCTCCATGAGATCTAGGGGCCCCTCCCTCCCTTCACCCCTGACAGCACCTAAAGTCTTGAGCAGAAAGAAGGGACCAAGCAAGGGAGAAGCTGGGGCCCCTGTATATGGGTACTGGGGAGGGTAGTTGTGGTGGAGAGTGGGGTGGAGAGTGCTCTTGGATACAAGGAGACTGCAGGAGTTGGTGGCACCAAGGTAATAGTGAAAGGGAGAGACCTGGGAAATGGTGAATCCCGAAGTCTGAAGAACCTGAGTACAGAACACATAGACATTCACTCATACAACTCTCACACACACACTCACACACACTCACACAAACATATATATATATATGCTCATACACACATATGTTCTCTCAGATCTCACACATACATAGTCACACACAAACACATGTACATTCACACATACACACTCACACAATCATTCCCACACTCATACACACTCAAATACACTCACATGTAGACTCACTCTCATGCACACTTACACATAGTCACACGCACCCTTTCACATACATACACATACGCCTTCTCTCTCTCACACACATACTCACGCACATATACTCTCACACACAAACATATACTCACATTCATTCTTACACCTGCACAGATACTCTCTCTCTCACACACACACATTCTCTCATGCACATGTACTCTCTCACACACACACTTACACATCTCACATAGACAGACATATATTCTCTCTCCCTCTCTATCCCTCTGTCTCTGTCCCTCTGTCCGTCTGTTTCTCCCCCCACCCACCCACCCTCCTACATCCCCCCACCCACAGGCTTTCTCCACAAGCAGAGAGGAGGGGCTGAGAGGCTCACCGACATCGGCCTGCCGCACATTTTTCATCCGGATGACCCGCACCGTGAGCAGGTGGCATGGAGACAGCCGCTCCTGTGGGGAGAGACAGGGTCACACTGCGAGGTTGTTCAGCCTGCCCACAGGATCCTCCCCCACCCCAGGATTCAAGAAGACCCCCCACAGCCTCACTGCTGGGCTCCTGGAGAGGGGCCTCCCCATCACCCTTGGGGAGAAGTGCTGCCCTGAAGAGAAACAGCTCTCAGAGACACCTGCTCCCGCTCCCCGGAGCTGCTTCTCTTCGGTCCCTTTCCTGTGGCCTCTCAGGGTCTAAAGCTGAGAGCTTTTCGATGGCTTCTTTGGCCACTCCCAGTCTGTACCTTCTGCTGACAAGCAGCAATAGTAACAGAGGCTGCAGAATAGGAACCCTTTGCCCAGCACGGGTCCAGTCTGCTGAGAACTATCTCAGAGCTTTTATTTGTTTATTTTTTGTTTACTTTTTTACAAATAAAAGTAAGCTTTTATTTGTTTACCGATGGGTTTTTATTTTTATTTGTTTGCCCCCCTTTTTTTTAATTAGTGGTGATTGTGGCGGTGGTGGTGGTGGTGGGAATGAGGGTGTTGGGGGACTGTGTTCAGGGCTTACTCCTGGAGTTGTGCTTAAGGGAACAAATACACTACCAGGGATTGAATCAAGGTTAGCCATGTACAAGACAAGTGCTTTAGCTCCTATCTTACAGGAGCTATTCTGGCCTTCAGCACCCAGCTAGAAGTAGCCGCTGCTCACTGCCAGAAGTGGCCCCCAAACTAACAACGGGAGGAAGCTACTCTTCCCCATTTAAAATGGTACTGGAGGAAACCATCACGACAAAAACCAGGGGCCCCCATAGTCCTATTCAGAGATGCTGGTCTTGTTTGCTCTCTTCTCTGGGGCTCAAGTCCCAGCAACAGATCTGGGGCTCCGGGAAGCTTTTCCATGGCCCCAGAGACAGAGTTGGAAGTCAGCTTAGCAGGTCCTCCTCCACTCTCCACAAAGCTGCCTGCAGCCAGCACGGCAGCCCGGGACACCCCACAAGGGCAGGGACATGAAGGGCTTCATCTGGGGACCCAAGGCAGCAGCACCTTCACCCCAACAGCATGCTGTGTAGAGTTCCACAATGTGGGTGCCTGGTCCCCCACAGGGCTCAGGGTATGGAGAGGACCATTTACCTGACCCACTCGGGCCACCGGGAGCCCCTCATGGCTCCCTCCTGCCTGAGAAGCCCGTGTACCCATTTAATATGGGGAAGGGAGTAAAGGCAGTTTTCACCCTGGAAAGTGGTTCTGGGAGGTTCTTCTCCTGCTGGGCCACATAGTCTCAGAGCAATTGGTGTTTAAGTGGGAATTGCCGAAGGAGCAGCCTTCTAGGACATTCAGAGTCTGAAGGCTCTGAGTCAGGCCCTGAGCCTGGGGGGCGGGGGCGGTCATTTGTCACTGACACGCTCCCCGTGTCCTCTCTGGAAGGACTGAGCACCCACAGCTTCCAGATTTGGCAGCTGTCCAGGAAAGTTCTCCGCTGGCGTCCAAGTCCGGTGTCTCCCGAGAAGCAGAGAACATCTTCCTGCTCCATCTAGTTCAGCAATGCCAACACCAGCTCCCACCTACAGCTGCTCAATGTCAGCTCCCTCCGCCTCCGTGCACCCTGCGTACAAATCCTGTGCCCCCACAGAGACGTTATTAGCTTCACTTTTCAGATAACGATCCCGTCCTTTGACGGAGATGTCAGCTACAATCCTACAATCAGAGAAACCGGAGCTTGAGCCAGCAGTTCCTTCTCAAGCTTGTGACCATAGCCATGATTCCATGGCTACCCCCTTATCTTCAGGGCATACATTCCAAGACAACCCGCCTGACTCCCCTGCCCCACTCCCCTGCCTTCGGTAGTACTGAATTCAATAAATACTGATGTTCTCTGTACACATATACCTACAATCTAGTTTAACAAATAAATTAGGCTTAGTGAGAGAGTAGCAAAAATAATTACTAATAGATCTCTGGGGGCTAGAGAGATAGTATAGCGGGTAGGGCATTTGCCTTGCACGTGGCCAACCTAGGTTGATTCCCAGCATCCCATATGGTCCCCCAAGCACTGCCAGGAGTAATTCCTGAGTGCAAAGCCAGGAGTAACCCCTGAGCATTGCCGGTGTGACACAAAAAGGGAAAAAAAAAAGAAAAAAAAAGATCTCTGGCATAGGTAGGATATAACAAAAGAACTAAGGTAACAGAACTGGAGAGTCAGCCTACAGAACTAAACTCACTAAGGGGAGGAAGGTGGACAGGCACTTGAGACTTTGGCAGAGGGAAGCGGACACTCTGGTGAAGGATGCAGCGTTGGAACCTACTAGTAACAGTAATGTAGGTGATGATGCCTTAATAAAAATCTGGGGCAAAATAACAGAATGTCAGGGCTGGAGAGATAAGTACAGTAGGCAGGGCACTTGTCTGCACATGGCCAATCTGGGTTTGATCCCACATGTTCCACTGGGTACCTCCAGGAGTCATTGCTGAGTGCAGAGTCAGGAGTAACCTCTGAGCATCACTGGGTACTGCCCCCACCAAAAATAAAACGAAATCCAGACTGATTTCTGTTGATTTTTTGAGCAACTCAGATTTGAATTCCAAAGGGCCTACTTCTTTGTAAATATTTTTCAATAAATGTCTTTGAAATATTTTTGATACCTCTGAAAATTCCAACAAATTTTGAGATTTACTACAATTTGAAGGAACACACAACCTAGAAATTTTGGGGGGGAAATTAAAAAGTGTGCTCTAACTGCACAAAATATATGTCGATAATAGTATTTTCTCATTTAATACCACCTAATAAAACACAGATCTATCACAAGATATTAAAAGACACTGAAATTCACACAGAGTTACAAACTGGGCATGGCACCATTTGCAGTTGGAGGAAACATAAACCAATGCGAAGTTGCAGGATTAAGTCATAACCACATAGAATTACTAGGAGCACCCGCTGTGTTCAGTCATAGCTTCCCAGCACCTGTTCTTGCTATTGCTGGAGAGCTCAGTCAGTGGTGCAAGCAGCTGCGGAAAACTCCATGTGCCCTTACTCATCTCTGCATGAGCAGCTTCCACCCCAGGAAACTGCTTATCAAGCTAAAAGCGAACTCCCAGGGTTCTCCCAGGCCTCTCGCCTATTTTTCCACTCTGTTTCGCGCCATGCCACCAGGACCTGTACAAAGTGCCACGAGAGATGCTGTGTATGCTCCTAAGAAAGAGATAAGTCAGGACAGGGTGAGAAGAAGCTATCTAGGAAGACATGAGTCACAGTGGAAACACAGCAGAAATCCACAGCACACCCCAGAGATTCTACAAAATGTTACTTTTCTCTAGCTGGCTTGACCACGTGAGCACAGTGTGTGGTCCCAGGCTCTGGACACAGCTCAGAGATAGAGCACGTGTCTTGAATGCATGAGGTACAATTGCTGGCACTGCAGGGTCCTCTAGCACTGCAGATATAGCCCTGGTGCCCCTAAGCATGGCCAGCCAGAGCATTGGTGGGTGTGGCCTCCCCAGAGTTAAGTACAGATCTTTGATAGCAGAATCAGTGCCCCTGACCAACCGTGACTTGCTCACAGTCAGACTGATGCGTGGAGTTGGGGGTCTCTCTTTCCCTCCCTTCCCCTACCGCTCCCCCAAATCTTATCTTATGAATTGCAGAAACAGAGCACAGAGAAGGGGACCCTGGGCTGTCACCTCACTTCCTGACACCCCTTGGCACCCCTGGCACTAGATGGGGCTCTTTGTCCCCATGACCTACTCAGTCTCAGAATCTGTTTCCTTATATAGTCCTCTTTTCATCCCATCTTCCCTCCGAATCCCTGCCAATAGTTCCAAACTCTGGCAGTCCTTCTCCATGCACAGCTCTAGTAAGAGTTGTTTTATTTATTTATTTATTTATTTTTGGCGATGGGGTGGGGTACAATGTGCTCAGGGCTTACCCCATGCTCAGGGATCAGTCCTGACGGGCTCAGGGCACCATATGAAGTGCCAGGGAACGAACCTGGGCTGGGTGTGTGCAAGGCACATGCCTCACCCACTGTACTATCACTCCCACCCTCTTACTAGCTGTTTTCTACCAGCATTCCTGACCTCTGCCACTCAAATAGGTGGGGCCCACCCAGCCCATGGGAGGATTCTTGGAGAAGGGCTCACTTCCTGTACCCCCAGGGCTCCTGCTTATATCTCAGCCTTAGCCTCAGGGAGAACCTGCCTGGAGCGGGAGTGGGGGTGCGATACTGGCCGGAGGGGCCTCATATATGGGGAGGACAATGGGACCCCTGGGACTCAGGCCCAGAAGATTCCAGGAACCAGGTCTGTAAGGTGTGACCTTCTGAGCTGAAAATGGATTGCACATTTCTTCCTGATGTCAGCAGCTTACGCAGCCCACACTGTGACACATTGAGCTGCACAGAGAGTCGATAAGTCTTACTGCGGCCAGGTTCTGGGGCCCAGTCTGACCATAGGACTCCAGTCCATGGGGAGCCTAAGGGAGGGGGAAGGACAGTTGCTTCCAAATCTTGGATAAGTTTATCCCCAGGACAGGATGCCAAGACTGGGTATCAGGGTGAAAAACATTTAAGGGCCAGAGTGATAGTACAGTGGGTAGGGTGTTTGCTTTGCATGGGGCCAATTCCTGGCATCCCCTATGGTCCCCTGAGCACCACCAGGAATGATCCCTGAGCACATAACCAAGAGTAAACTCTGAGCATCACTAAGTGTGACTCCCTCTGCCCCCCTACCAAATATTTAAAATATGAGTCCAGAACAATAGCACAGTGGGTAGAATACTTCCCTTAAACAAGACTCACCTGGGTTTGATCCTTGACCCTCCATATGGTCCCCTATGCACACCAGGAATGATCCCTGAATATAGAGTCAGGAATAACCTCTGAGCACCACCAGGTGTGACCTTCCCCTCCCCCCCCCCTTACAATGAATATAAGGCCAGAGAGAGTATTGGGGTTAGGGCATTTGCTTTGCATTCAGTTGACCCCACGTCAAATCCCTGTTACCTTACCCCATATGTTTCC